CGGAATTGTGTGGGAGGGGCAGGAGGGCTGGGTGGGTGGCTGGCACCTCTCAGCACGTCAGGCGGCGGTGAAGGAGCTGAACCTCTGGAGATGGCCTCCCCGGACGGCTTGTCCTCCCGCCCCGTGCTGCAGCGCTGGTGGAGAGCAGACCGGGGCTGGATGGAAACCAAAACCTGCTTTCCCCTTCTTCCCTGAGTCAGATGCTGCGGGAGAGACTCGATCTGCTCTGTGCCATGCTGCTAACAATTAATTAATAACACCTGGTAATACCAATTAATTGCTCCCGCTCCAGAGGGTTTAGACCTATCCCAAGAGTGGGCATGGGCTTGCCGTGGTGGGCTGTTCATGCTCCCCGCAGGTGCTGGGCAAGGTGTCCTGAACATTGTCAAGGGGTGCCCACAGGGCCCTCTGGGGTCCGTGGGACCCTGTCCCCCTCCATCCTCCCACTGGGGAGCAGCGGGCTTTTCCTCCGCTGCCTTCTCCTCACCGGAGCGGGGAGCGGCTGAGCCCACAGCAAGGCTGGGCAGAGAGGAGTTAACTCCAAACCCAACCTCAGAGAGAGGGGAAAAAAAAAAGAACACCACAAACCAGAGATCAATGGATCAGCAGCAAGAGCAGAGGGAGGGAAAAGGGGGAGACAGAGAGAGAGGAGAGGATCTCTAGGAGAGAGACGAGCGTGGGAGCCAGGAGAAGAGAGAACAGAGCTTGCGGCAGGCAAGGGGAGGCAGCCGAGCACCCAGCAGCGGTGACGGCGCTGCCTGAACAAACTCTTCGGTGACCCGTGTCCTCCTCGCCACCTCTGCCTGCACTGGACCGGAGGCCTCCCCGAAGCAAGCGGCGAAGCTACAGGCGCTTCCTCGCAGAGGTGAGTGCCAGCTTCCCAAGCTGAGAGGTGGCCTCGGGCTCACTGAGCAGGGACACAGCAGCTTCCAGAGCTGCCCCGCAGTCTACGTGCAAGGTGCACATCCAGAGGGAGACCAGGGTCCTCTGCTCTAGCGAGGAGATCCCACGGGGCCAGGACAGAGAGGCCAGATAGTTACCAGCAGGACGGATGGAGGGGACAGAGAGGCAGGGACGACCGTTCACGGCGATACAGAGAGGCTGCTGGGAAGGAGAAGTGGCGTGAGCTGAGGGATGAGGGAGTGGGGGTGAAGGAGCTTGCATGACCCAAAAAAAGAGTTAATTGCGTGTCAACAGTTGCTAGATAACAGTGTCTTTCCCCCTTGGTTGCTGCTCAGCAAAGGACAATTTGTTCTAATGATAGCACAACACAGGGAAGGCTCGTTAGCAGATAGGCTGTTGGCACTCCCCGCCTGAGTGCGATATTACTCAGGGCTGGAGGAAGTTTTGCCGCAAATCACAATAGCTTGAGCTGCAGTAATAATTACGCTCCTTCACAACGATCATCATGTTGTGTTTCACGCAGCTCCGAGATCTCCCCCCGTCCTCTCCTAGCCACCACCGTCCAGCCCGTGACCACCTCTCCGCATCGGGAAGAGCTGCCCTGAGTCACCTCTCCTCCGCGGAGCGTAACTACTGCAAAGGGAGCAAGGGGCAGCCAGCTCCGGGGTGGAGGTGTTCCCAGCTGAGGGAGCTGCCTTTGGGGGGGGGGGGGGGGGATTGTTCATGAGGGGTGTCATCCGGCACCC